ACCAAATCAAGGTAGCCAGTGCATCCGTAATCCCAAACCCTGCTACCAAACAAAAGCAGCCAATGCATCAGTCAAGAGGCCATGTTGGCTGTAGACCTGTGTTCCACAGCCCTTCTCTGCATGGACTGGGAGAGTCTGGGCTCAGCTTAGCTTTGATGATGCTGAAGACGGGCCTAGCATGTCAACATCCCGACAGCCACCAGTCCTCTGCTTATAACTCTTGACTGGACAGCCAGAGGCTGCAGCCACTACTTCCAGACCCAGCTCAGCACTCAGGAGCCAGGACCAAACCGGTGATGGGAATTACTTCCCACATCAGTCACACCCAAAACCAAATGCGTGGAAAACTTAAAAAGAGAGAAAACATTATGTTCTCTCATTTTCTGTTAAGCTGGCAGTGTTTTTTCTTTCTTGATCTCCCCTCCTGGACTCTTCCTTCCCATCCTAAAAAAACAAAAAGACAGATGACCCATTCTTTGCAAGAGATGCCACGACTGGGCTATAAGAAGCCGGTCTTCACGACCCTTGCCCCATTCTGGGGATGGAGCCCACAGACATGAGCTAAGTGTGTTCATTACTCCCTGTCATGGAGAAAGAATGGTTTTGTTCAAGGAGGCTGAGGGGCAGGGCTTACACAGCATGGTCAATACAGAGAGTGAAGTGTGGTACGGCATTGAAGCAAAGCACCTTTTCAAAATGTGGAAGAGTATTAGCGGAACTAATAGGAAGACATTTATAGCCCAAAAGAGAATGCAGCTTTGTTTTTTTTGTTTATTTGTTTGTTTATTTGTTTTGATCACTCATCTTATCCATTTAATAAATGTAGCCGGGCATTGGTGGTGCACGCCTTTAATCCCAGCACTCGGGAGGCAGAGGCAGGTGGATCTCTGAGTTCGAGACCAGCCTGGTCTACAGAGCAAGTTCCAGGACAGCCTCCAAAACAATACAGAGAAACCCTGTCTCAAAAAACCAAATAAATAAATGAGTAAATGAACAAATGTGTGATTGGCGTCACTATTAGCCTTACACAACCCTTGGTCTTAGATGCTTCCAGTTTTAACAAGGTATCACTTTTATATCATGGGGCTTACATTCTAGCATGAAAACAATGTTAAAGAAGGTTACCCAGTTGCAGAGTACTTGCAGCAGACAGCATAACCAAGAACACATAGGAAAGAACAAAAGAGCATTTCAGCCAACAGAGACTGGGAGTGCAAAGGGCCTGTGGAGCAAAGTCATGGGACATCAGAAATGGAAGTGTGGAAAAGAATGGTACAAGACAAACGTGCCTAAGTGGTCCAGCACTGGCTATGTGAGTCTAAGACCAGGGGTCAGCAACCCTCTTCAGTGAAGAGCCAGATAGGAAAGATTTAAGGTCTTTCAGCCAAATGGCAGGATTAGTTATAAAGAGAGTAAAAACATGCACAAAAATGTTATTAGGGGTTGGAAAGATGGCTCAGTGATTATAAGCACTGTATAAGCAGAGTATCCAAGTTTCATTCCCAGAACCCACATGGAGGCTTGTCACCATCTCTGACTCCAGTCCCAGAGAGATCTGCTGCCCTCTACTGGCCTCTCCAGATACACACACACACACACACACACACACACACACACACACACAGAAACTTTTTTTGTTTTTCGAGACAGGGTTTCTCTGTAGCTTTGGAGGCTGTCCTGTAACTATCTCTTGTAGGCTAGGCTGGTCTCGAACTCACAGAGATCCGCCTGCCTCTGCCTCCCAAGTGCTGGGATTAAAGGTGTGCACCACCACCACCCCACTAACCTTTTTTAAAAAATATTACTGGTTGAACTCTAAATATACTAATAACTGAGTGACTTTTTATCACAAATCTACAAGGGAAGAATGGAATATTGGAGAAGGAAAATATTTGGCCTCACTAGTGTTTTCCGTTATCAAGATTTATGGTAAATATCTGATTGTTGATGCTGAGGGGAGTGGGGTTTTGTTTCCTGTTGCTAAAAGTCTTTTTACATAAACAGATACTGCCAAACACTGCTGTCTGTTCACACCTATACAATTTTAATTAAGCATGCTTATGTTCACCAGGCATTTATACAATTTACCAGAGTTTTCTTTTGATGTTTGCCTGTTTAAAAAGTGTGTTGATTTGTTTTTATGTGTGTACCTGTCTGCACGAGCTTTATTCACCAGACGTGATAGGTACCCAAGGAGGCTCGAAGGCGTCAGGTTCCTTGGAGCTGAAGTTAGAGGGTGTGTGAGCTGCCTGGTGCGGGTGCTGGAAACCAAGTTAGGGTTCTCTTCAAGAGCATTCTTGTATGGTGAGCCACCTCTCCAGCACCATGATATCTGCTTTTCAATTCCTACTGAAAATTATATGAAAGCAACTTGTTAAATAACCTAGTTAAATGGATTTTGAAATATGAGAATTATTTTCTCCTCACATCGAAGTCCAGGTCATACTATTGGGTCTGCATTTTATGTTCAGGAAACACAATCACTGTGATCATTGTGAGTGTGTGTGGAATAGAGTGCATGCAGCTCCATATTGTAACTTGTGATGGCCCAGGAAGAATGTTTAAAAAGCTTAGCATCACTTGTTGCTTAAGCAACTTTAACATAGTATAAGTTTACCTGTAAGGGTCATTTTCCTCAGTTATAGTGTAAGTTTTCTAAAGTCTACTATGGACTTGGTAGCAAAGCTAATGTTCAAAGCCACCAAGGGTTCACTTATGGTGACAGGGAACAGTTTTTATTCTCATCTCTGACTTCAAAAAACGTACTCAAAATATTGACTGATGCTAAATTCTTACACTCCTGAACAATGGGGTAAGTCAAGTGTTCAGGCTCTAGGTCTCAATAAAACTAATCTTAAAACTGTGGGTGGTAACATCACATGGGCTGGGCTCCCAGGCTCCCAAAAAAGGAGACAGTGAGCTGAGCACCAGCGTTCACCTCTCAGCTTTCTGACTGTGGATGCAGTGTGACCAGCTGCCTCCTCCTGCTGCCACACCTTCCCCCACTGTACTTTCAAACTGCAATCCCAAATAAACCCATTCTCCTCCAATAAGCTGCTTTTGTTGGGTATTTTGCCGTGCCAACTAGAAAAGTAGCTGATAGAACATCTCCAGAGACTCCCTCTGTCTGGTGCTCTCTCAGCATCTTGGAGATCTTTGCATCCAGGTCTGTCTGTTCCACAGAGACAGTTTACAGACATCCATTCTGGTTCCTGCAGAAGGGGTATTGCCTCCTCAGATAGACAGCAAGATCTGCTGACTCACAAGGAGACAGAGAAAAACTATACAACATGATCTATCTGCCTTGCTCTTAACTGACTTCATGGTGACCTGCCTCCCATCCTCAGGGACTCGCAAAGCAAGACTTCTTCTTCTTCTTCTTCTTCTTCTTCTTCTTCTTCTTCTTCTTCTTCTTCTTCTTCTTCTTCTTCTTCTTCTTCTTCTTCTTCTTCTTCTCCTCCTCCTCCTCCTCCTCCTTCTCCTTCTCCTTCCCCTTCTCCTTCTCCTTCTCCTTCTTCCTCTCCCTCTCCCTCCTTTTCCTCCTCTTCTCCTCCTCGTTTTCCTCCTTCTCCTCCTTCTTATTCCCTTTCTCCTCCTTCTTTCCTTCTCCTCCTCCTCCTTCTTGCCAAAGAGGTGATTTTCTCAGGCCAGTTTATTTCCTCTCTAACAGCTTCTTCAGTTCTTGCTGTTAAGCAAAATGTAATTAACTCAATGGGTAAATTATTTTTCTTATTTTGCTAACAGTTGAGCCACATGGAACATACCTATTCTCACTTTTTATTTTTGTGAACAAAGTAGTCTATGTTGGCATTCTATCTTAAATCTTCCTCGTTTTGACCACTGCTTTCTCATAAGTTGGAAATATTGTGACAAGTGCTTAGTGTGCTGATGTCAGTGTATGCCTTATTCCTTACACAAATTTGTACTGTCGCTGTGTGATAAACACAGCAATTTGTTGCCATAAAATTGATTACAGAACACTCCAGGTGCCCCTGTATATTAAAAGCAGGACATTTAAAACCCACTGTCCTCATCTTTCCTTGATGTATCACGGTGCAACAGGCTGGCCGTATTAGTCACTTGTCCCATTACTGTGACAAAATACCCAACAAAAGCAACTGGAAGGAAGAAGGGCTTACTCTGGTTCAGTCCGAGGGTACAGTCCATCATGGTGAGAAGGCGTGGTGACAGGAACATGAGGTGAGACAGTGATCATGCCGCATCCATAGTCAGAAAGCAAGGAGATGAAAGGGGGAATGCATCATGCTTTCTGATTCTTCCGGTCTTTGACTCAGTCTGAGCTGTAAATCTGTATTGAGAGTGTGTGCTCCCTCCTCTGAAACACACCCAGAATGTCTTTCTCGGTGATTCTAAAATCCAGACAAGTTGATAGTGAAAAATCACCCTCACAACTGTACGATGAAAATGTTACGATCTCGCAATACACCTCACACTCCCAAAAGCTGGGTTGCATGGCGAGTATTCATGGTGTGTTAGGCGGCAACATGAAGCTGAAAACCACCCATTTCTCTTATTACAACATGAAAGCAGCTGTAGGGACATAAATGATGCTGGCTGTGCTGAAATTTGAATCTTATATAGGTTTCGGGTATCAAGACATAACTAGTCTTAGTTTGACTTTTCTCAACTGAATAGAAAAGTCAAAACTAACCAGGCATGGTGATGTCTACCTGTAATCCCAAACCCTGGGAGACTGAGGCCAGGCGGGGATACATAGCAAAACCCTTGCTTTGTCTCAGATAAACTAACAAAAAGGTAAAAACCACTGTAGGTTTTAGGTCATCCAGAAATAGGAGATGGGTGTCTGGATTTGACCCTGTGAGCCTTGTCTGCTGATCTATGCAATTAGACATGCCTGCGTGTGTTGAGTTTCAATTCAACACTTCTTATCGGTGCAAGAATTCAATTCCCTCAAAACCATTGCAAGCCCTGAAATCACTAACCTCACAAGTCATCTAAGAAGATATGTGCTTTTGCAGGATGGTACCCGGGTCGTTGGGAAATGCGGCGGTTACTGTGGGAAGTGCACTCCGTCCTCTGGCACTGGCCTGGAGGTGCGAGTTTCATAACCAAGGTAAGTCTCCTCCCTGTCCCTTTCATTTTAGTCTGTCGCCTCATGATGAACAAATATGGTGACTGTCACTTCCTCCAGACAGGACTACTGTCAAGCATTGTGAAGTTGACACAATAATAACATTCTTTCTTACCTGTCTTTCTTTGCCTGAGGTCATCTGTCCCTCACCCTTGAACCCAAATCCTCAGGCCTCATACATTAAGTTCCTCTGTGTTGCCTGTTGAAGATGCTACCTGCTGGGCTTCACCTTCAGGAATCTTACTTCCTAAGGTCCCTGGTAGATTCAGAGATCTATGTTCTGAATATTGGGAACCGTGATGTGGGGGCTAGATAAGCACTTCAAGAAAATAATAATCACAGTAGCACTGGTGTTTGCCAGGCTTCCCCTGTGGTGAGCAACTTACAGGCATGGTTTCATTGAATCTTCACACAGAAATCACGAGGTAGAGCTCTTGGTCTCATTCTGCAGTAGAGGAAGCTAAGGCCCATAGCCATTACTTTCCCTGAGGCCACAGGGACATTCCCTTGCAGGCCCCAGAGATAGCTTACACCAACAGCATTGCTCTCGATCACTGCAGTGTCACAGACTTGTTACTCACAGGGGGGCCAACAGCTCGGTGTCTTCAGAGATCTCGTTATAAATGTGGGTCTTAGACCACCGCCGGTGTACAAGAAATCAGAATCTATTCTGTCAAAATCCACAGGAGTCTTTCGCTTGCCAACAAGTGCTCCCTCTTCTGGGCAAAAGACTAACCTGCTCACTTTTCATTATCCTGGTGCCTTCAGCTACAAGGCAAGGAAGATCAACCATCCTGTGTGACTTTGCAATACTGTCCCTGTAACTTCCAATGATCCATTCAGTTCCCTCCACAGGTCACTCCCATCCCAACACATGAGTTACTATTTGACAAGTGTTTAAGTAAACATCAGTATTGAAAGTATTCCTTTTATATATACATATTAAGAAGGCTGTGTAGGGTTCTCTGGACTACTACAGTCTTTTTTTTTTTTTTAAGATTTACAATGTTGTGCCTGCGTGTATGCCTGCAGGCCAGAAGAGGGCACCAGATCTCATTACAGGTGGTTGTGAGTCACCATGTGGTTGCTGGGAATTGAACTCGGGACCTCTGGAAAAGCATCCTTAACCTCTGAGCCATCTCTCCAGCCAATATATATATGTGTGTATTTAGAACAGACTCTTGCTTATTAGCCCAAGCTAGCCTTAAACTTGGGGTCTTTATGCCTCTATCTCCCAAGTACTGGGATTGCAGGTGCACACCACCACACCTGGGCAGAATTGCTAAATAACTGCGATGCCCATGTGTTGTGCCCTCTTGAGGCACAGCTGCATAAGGCTCCACAGTATTTTCCCTCCCCATCCATCAGCAGTGAGGCCCTCATGTAGCTTCTTTCTTAATTTGTCATCTTTCCCACACCCAGGCCTTGCTAAGATTGCATCATCATTATAGCTCCTGATTAAACTAAATGCTGTCCACAACCATCCTGCAAAATAACTGTCCTTGAGCTGGAGGGATGGCTCAGTAGTTACGAGCACTGGCTGTTTTTCTAGACAACCTGGGTTTGATTCCCAGCACCCACATGGCAGTCCCATCTGTAATTCTAGTTCCAGAACTGATACTCCTTTCTGGCCACCAAGGGCACCAGCACACATATGACACATAGACATACAGGCAGGAAAAGCACCCACATAGAAAATAATAAATAAATAAATCACCTCTCCCTACCTCTGGTGGGATCACATGATCAGTTCTGAAGTAGAGTGTCTGGTGGCCTGAGATCTTGTGCCTACCGGGAGTAGCATGATTGACAGCTTTGTTTGAAAGAGGATCACTTCTAAGAGCAAAAAGAAATTTGACCTGGGACTATAGCTCAGTGATAAAACACTTTCCCAATATGAACAAGGCACAGGGTTTGACATTTAGAACAAGCACAATAAACAAAACAATAGTGTATGAGCTCCAGGACAGCCTAGGCTAGAGAGTCACACACACACACACACACACACACACACACACACACACACACACACACACACTGGAGGGGAGAGGGAGAGAAAGAGAGAGAGACTTGGGATCCAAAAAGTGGAAATGGGGTAAAATAGGCAAAACTCAGCAGATATACACTAGAGACCCCATTTTCATATGCGTTTTATGTCTACTTTTCTTGTGTATGTTATCTGTCATAAAATATGAAAACGTATGTACAAAATTTACGTGTATAAATTTACGTGTATATGAGAAGGAAATGTGCTAACATTTGAATATTATCTCAGATGAGATTTATAGGCACTGAACTTTTTTCTCTTTCATTCTTTTGGAATTGTTCTTTTTTCCCTCCCTTTTAAATTATGTTCATCTATTTACGTGTGCATGTGCTGGCACACGCCTCCACGTGTCTGTGGATCTGAGAACAACTCACAGGAGCTGGCCCTCACCTTCCAGCAGGCACCTCTCCTCGCTGGGACACTTCTTTTTATGGTGCTGGGGGTCAAACCCGGGACCACACACTTCAGACACCCCACCACTGAACAGTGTCCCAGCCCACTTCATGTTGCTTGTAGCAGAGAAATAAGTAAATAAATGACCAAATAAACGAGAGTTCACTTTCTAACCTGGAGAAGAACTTTGTAATTCTTCATGTGGCTCACCTACCCTTTGACTTTCAGCCTTTGGTGTAGAAGGTTTGTAACTCCTGGTTCTTTTCTTTCAGAGGCTCTGAAGAGGAAGCCATTATGGAATGGATGAAGGATAGTAATTCAATACCTCCACCTTAAATTCGGGTGCATCTGTGTGCGTGTGTGTGGACCTGTCTGCTTGTGTGTGTGAATGCGTGTGTATATGTGTGTACATATGCATATATATAAATATATATAAATATATATATATACAGGTTGAGCATCCCTTATCCAAAAATTTAAAGACTGAAACGCTCCAAGTTCTGAAACCTTCTGAGTCTCAGAAAAAGATCTCAAGTGGAAATTTCAGTGCCATGAAACTTGGTTTCATACACAAAATTTGTTGAAGTACCAAACAAAATTACATTCCTGTCACGTATGTTAAGGTACATAGTAAACACTAATGAGATCCATATCCCATGTTCTTGGGCGTGTATTGCACTCTCCTGCTGCTTAAAATCTATACCAAAATCTCCTAGTAAACCCCAACTCCATTTAAAAGAAAGAAGCATAAATGAATACCAGGTTTAGATTTGAGTCCCACCCCCAAGATATCTCATTTTGCATAAGAAAACATCACCATGTCTTCAAAGTGTCTGAACTACACCCTGATGGTCTCAAGCATTTCAAGGAGTGATACTCAACCTGTGGAACACCCTAATGATGTAAAGTTTAATATTTATGTTTGAAATTATTTATTGTGATGTAATATTTTTGTACGTAAAATGATTTTATTGTGACTGCCTGTGCATGTCAGACCACTGCATTTTACGTACTCTACATTATATGTAGTATGTGACAAAGTGACCCTTCATTATCACGGTACACTGTTGTTTACTTTTTACCTGAAAATGTGTTTTACTGTTACATTTTGAGAATTGTAATTATTTTTTTTAACAACCTAGCTGTCATCAAGGTGCTACGTGCGTTGAATAAGGGTATTTTTGGCAATTGTGGGAATGTTTCATTAGCCAGTAAGTGAGTTAGCAACATCACTGATTGTACCAACTGTTAATTATCATATCTATTCCATTTCATGTGATCTCTGGGAGAAATATGCTGCCTTGGTGCTAATATTATATGTTTTTAAAGTAATCTTCAGAGTAAAAAAAAATAACACCTACTAAAAGGGAGTAACAGATAGACAATTCCCAAGGGATAAGATCACTTGTCTAGAATAAGACCCACTATTTACATTTATTTTTAGACCTGCCTCTTTTGGATAGTAGCTAGACTCATTTCTTCCTGCTGTTGTTGGTAATATGCTTTACTCTGGTCCATGGTGCCTTGGACTCCTTCCAACCATTGGGAGGGTCCACAATAGCTTGATTACAGAGTAACACTGGGAAAGGGAGGTTCAGCTGCTGTTTTGTCAAGATATCCTCAAAAACATACAAGTTTACCAGCATCAAGATAAAAGGATACACAGCAGGATCATAGCCTTAACACCCCTCAGCATATTTGTGGCCTTCAGCACCTCTGAGCATACACGGAGAACGACAGGAGCAGATTCTGAGCCGTGGAGATCAACCACCTTTACATGAAAACTTTGGCCAATGATATGACTTCCCGTCAGGCTGTGAGCCTAATACCCTGCCGGGTTTCCTGTGGTCTTCAGCATTTGTGTGAAAAATAAACTGATCTTCCTCGAATCCACCCTTGGTTACTTCTTTCAGAAACGGAAGTGCTGAAGCAGTGGTCACAAGACATTCTGCTTGAGAAAGCCTGTCCAAGCTTTCCAAGACCAAAGAGATTAGGAAAACCCTGACAGTATTCTCCGACTTCACAGAACTACCAGAGCACGGTATACTCAGTTTATGAACAAGTGTCATCCTCTATTGTTAATATATGGGAAACATATTACAAATAAATATTGTGACCACATCCAAACCATATACAGTTCTCTTGGCTTTTGGCTCTTGAATAACATTCAAATACAAATGTCTCTAGGGTTTTTCTTTTCCTATATTTTTGAGATTACAATATAATTACATCATTTCCCCCAACCCTTTCCTCTCTCCAAACCCTCCTGTCAGCCGGTTTCTGTTGCTGTGAAGAGACACCATAACCACAGCAACTCTTCTAAAGGACAAACGTTTCATTGGAATGACTTACATTTTGAGAGATTTAGGTCATTATCATTACGGTGTGACATGGCAGCATTCAGGCAGACATAGTGCTGGAGCTGAGAGTCCTACATCTTGATAGGCAGGCAACAGAAGTGGTCTGTCTCACTGGCTGTGGCTTGAGTATACATGAACCCTCAAAGCCCACCTCTACAGTGACACACTTCCTCCAACAAGACCACACCTCCCATTAATGCCACTCCTTCTGGGGGCCATTGTTTTATCTAAGTTGGTTTATTTAGCAATAAAGATTCAGCAGTCAGATATCAAGGTCAAAACCTGCTAGATCAGAGTCAAGAAGCAACCAGCTGGCCTTCCTTTTGGCCAGAGACCCAGCAAGAGAAGTGTCTCTCCACTCCCCCCACCCTCTGACTCCTACCCTCTCCACCCCCCCACACCCCCGCAGAAAAGACAGTGAATCTCTAAGTGCCTCCCTACTCCTTCCTGTGAGTCTCTCTACCTGTATTCCTGGATCCTCCATCTTCTCTATGGCTAATTCCTATTAACTAGTAACTGACTTCGACTCCTGATCCAAGGTTAATTTTATTAGCATATGTTGGGGGATTCCCACCCAGGTCCCATTGCGGCTTAGCACCCAAATAACACATGAGACACTGCTGTTTGCTATGGTTTTCTAATGGCTATCTCTGACTTAATTATTAACCGATAATTGCTAGTATATATAATTTTATAAGGTCCTACCTTACTGAGAACACCAGACTTGTGCCCCCTCCAACAAGGATCACATGACGACTCTCCACTCTTGACTACATTTCCCAGAATTCTCTCTGACTCCTAGTCCCACCTATCTTGCCTCTCTGTTGGCCAACAGTGCTTTATTTATCCCAATCAGACAAACATATACACAGAAGGACTTCCCCCATCAAACACAGTCTCCAAGTTAACCAGTGCCATCAAATATCCCACAATAGGTCATTTTCTTTCAAATCACCACATCTCCCATACATCTCTCTTTGCTCTCTTTCAAGTTCATGGCCTATTTTGTCATTAATTGCTGTTACATATATAAATATAACTTGCTTACTAATAATTCAAAAGGTCTTGTGTGTAAATGACATATTTATACATACACATAGATTTTTGTGTATTATCGTGGTTGTTAGATAGATGGTTAATAATATGATTCCTTGTGGCCTTTTCAGACATCATTACTTTACCCTCCTTCCTCCTTCTGTATTTATCTCCCTCCCCTCACTAATTAGATACCCTCTTTTTTCTCATTTCCCTGATCAGATCATTTGTACTCTACCATTCCCCTTTCTATTTCTCCTCCTCCCTTCCCTGGAAATTATACCCTTTTTTACCTTCCTGGTTTCTGCAGTTGCTCCAGAATATGTGCTCACATCTGAAATTTTGGGGCTAGGAGCCTCTGTCAGTAGTATTCAGGCATCTGTGCTGGCCTATCCTTGGTGTTCTGGCAGGATACGCCCTCAGCTGCAGCCACTAAGAGCACCACTTATGCATATTCACTGTGTTCCCTTTTCAAAGGGCCCTGCCCACTTCCCATCCTTCTCTCTTTCTTTCCTTCTCTCTGCTTGTTCCCCCTCTCTCCCTTTCTCTCTCCCTCTTTCCTGTCTCTCCCCCTCTTTTCTTTCTCCTCTCTCTTGCAGTTCCTGTCTCATAATCCCTTTTCCTAATTTAAAAAAAAAACTCTGCTTGAACCCTGGCATCTTTCTCTCGAATGCCACTTTTCTAAAATTAGAACAGTCCCTGATGATAGAGAACATGTCATGTTTTTCTTTCTGGGTCAGGTTATTTCATTTAACAAGATATTTTCTAGTTCCATCCATTTATCTGCATAGGTCATGATTTTATTTTTCTTTACAGCCAAATAGCATTCATTAGTATATGTACCTGTACCACGTTTTCATTACCCACTTGTTGTTTGAGGAAACTTAAGTAGTTTCCATTTCCTAGCTACTGTGACTAGAGCAGCAATGAACATGGTCACGCAAATATCTGTAGAATAGGGTGTGGAGTCCTTTGGGCATATGCCAAGAAATGGTATAGCTGGGTCATATTGTAGATTTATATTCAGCTTTTTGAGAATTCTCCACACTGATTTCCATAGTGGTTGTACCAATTTGCACTCCCAACAACAGTGAATGAGGATTGGTTCCCCTTCCCACATTCACACCAGCATTTTTTGTTAGTTGTTTTGTTGATCTTTGCCATTCTCATGGGGATAAGATAAAACCTCAAAGTATATCTGGCAAAGATTCCCTTCCATTCTGTACGCTTCCTCTTCACCCAGTTGACTGCTTCCTTCATGCCCTGTGACCAAATGTATGCAATAAGGTCTCAACAGCAGGTTCTGGTGTGCAGCCATGAACTGTAAAATTCCCTGCATTGTTTTGGGGTCTTTGGGATGCCTGACAAGCAACTAAAGTTGTGGTATCCCATAGATGGCACCAGGCTATTTAGCAACCTATGGCTTCTAGATTGAACATAGTGCCTCATGTAGGGTAACTCCAATAAAACTCTTCTATATGAATATGTGTGTGTGAAACATAAAACACTGGATTTCTATGTATGTAGCTTTTCAAATATCCCCCAATCCACTTCTCTGCTATGCTCTCCCATCCCTCTTTCCAAGTAAGCCTCCCTCCTCTTTATTCTCCTTTTCCCCTTCAATCACCTGTCTCCTTCTATCTCAATTCCCTTGGGATCTATCTTCTGCCTCTCTTCTAATCACCCCTTTCTAGTGTCCTTGATTCTATAAGTACTTCAAATTAAACACATGAATCTAAAGATTCAGTACTAATATCTGCTTATGAATGAAACATACAGCTTTTTTCTTCTTGGTCTGGGTTACCTCACTCAGTATAATATTGTCTAGCTCCATCCATAATGCAGCTTCTTTTGTTTTTTGTTTTCTTTCTTTACAACTGAATAAAATGCCATTGTCCACATTTTCGTTATCCTCCAGTTGAAGGGCATCTGGGCTATTTATGTGTCCTAACTATTACGATAGGGCAGCTATGAACATGTGTGATTGATGGTGAAGTCCCTTGTATATGTCAATAAAGCACTGTTGGCCAATAGGGAAGCAAGATAGGTGGGACTAGGGGTCAAGGAGGATTCTGGAAAAGAGAAACACAGGGAGACATCATGTAGCCTCCATAGGAATAAAAGGTCCGGACCCCTTTCTCCGGTAAGAGAAATACTTAGATTAACAATTATAGGGTAAATACTTAAGTCAGAGATAGCCAGTAAGAAACAAGCAAGGTCAACAGCTTAATATTTAATATAGCCTCCCGTGTGTTCATTTGGGATTGATGAGGCTCTGGAACCAGGCTGGCGGGAAGGCTGCACTTTACAGGTGATCATGTGTCTTTATGGTAAGAAGTCTTTTGGGTATATGCCCAGGAGAGGGAGAAATGTGTCATATGATAGATCTATTCCTAGTTTTCTGAGGAATGGCCACATTGATTTTTACCAGTTGGTAACTGCACCAATTTGCACTCCTACCAACAGTGTTTGAGGGTTCCCCATAATTCCACATCCTCTTCAGTCCTTACTGTTCTCTTTTGTTTTCTTTACTTAGCCATTCTGACTGGGGATAAGATGAAATCTCAAAATAGTTTTACTTTGCATTTTCCTGATGGCTAAAGACAGTGAATACTTTAAAAAGTATTCTGTAACCATTTATATTTCTTCTTATTCTGAGAGCTTTCTGTTCAGTTATATATTCCATTCCACCTTTTTTTAAAGATTACTTTCATTATGTACCCTTGGCATGCCAGGAACTCAATATGTAGACCAGGCTGGTCTCAGACTCATAGAGATACACCTGTCTCTGCCTCCTGAGTGCTGAGATCAAAGGCATATGCCACCACACCTAGCCACATAGCCCACAGTTTTATTAGGCTGTTTGTTTTCTTGATGGTTAGTTTTTTTTTACTTTCTTGTATTTCACAGATGCTAATCCCCTGTTAGATATATGCATGGCAGGCTGACTCTTTGGTTGATTAAAATTTTCCTTTGCAGAATGGAAACTTCTTTAATTTTATCAAGTCCCGTTTGATGATTGTTGTCTGATTTCCTGGGTGACTAGAGTCCTATTCAGAAAGTCTATATGCTGAAGTGTACCCAGTCCTTGACTGGATTTGGTATCAGAGTAATACTGGCTTCATAAGAAGCCTTGGGAAGAGCCTCTTCCTTTCTGTCTTGTGGAATAATCTGAGTGGTATTAGTGCTAGTTCTATGTCAGGGTCTGGTAGAATTCTGTGCTGATTCCATCTGGACCTATTTCAGTTGGAGACTTTAATTGCTGCCTCTGTCTCATTGGCTATCATGTGTTTGTTTGAATTATTTACTTCATCTTGATTTAGCATTAGTAGGTCATATGTGGTGGTTTAAAAGAAAATGACCCCCAAAGGGAGTGGCACTCTTAGGAGGCGTGGTGTTACTGGAGGAAGTGTGTCACTGTGGGAACAGGCTTTGCGGTCTCTTTCTCAACTTTCACTCAGTGTGACAGTCAGCTGACTTCCTGTTCCCTGCAAGATGTAGCACTCTCAGCTCCTGTGCCCTATCTGCCTGTATGTGGCCATGCTCCCTATCATGATGATAATGGACTGAGTCGCTGAACTGTTAAATGTGTTCTTTATAAGAGTTGTCATGGTCATGGTGTCTTATCATAGCTAAGACAGTCTAGAAATTCATCCATTTCTATTAGGTTTTCCAATTTAATGGAACATAGATTTTTTAAAGTACACCTTTATGGTTCTCAGAGACTCCTTAGCGTCTGTTTTTGGGGTTTTTTTGTTGTTGTTGTTTGTTTGGTTTGGTTTGGTTTGGTTTTTGCTTTTTTGAGACAGGGTTTCTCTGTATCATTTTGGAGGCTGTCCTGGACCTCACTCTGTAGACCAGGCTGCCCTCGAACTCACAGAGATCCCCCTGCCTCTGCCACCCCAGTGCTGGGATTAAAGGCGTGTGACACCAACGCCTGACTTGTATTTCCCTTTTCAACTCAATTTTTACTCATTTGAGTCTTCTCTTCTTTTGGCTAATTTAGCTAAAGGTTTGTCAATGTTATTCATCTTTTCCAAGAACCAAGAATCCTTCTCGTTGAGCCTTTGTACAATTTTT